ATGTGGTTTTATGGGCCAACAATCTTGCTTGGTAAAGAAGACACTTGGCTTTCAAAGTATTCCAAGGCATTATCAGTAATCGACGAAGGTATCAACATGGAACGGAAAGGGGTGACATCAGTCGCTGTTGCAACCACTGGACATGAAGGAAGCGTACTTTATAGCATTCGACACAATGGCTCTTTCAAAACATTACAAAGAGTGACAGGCTACATGCTGAGATTTATCAACCAGGCCAGAAACCAATCGCGGGAGTCAGACATTCCCTTGAACGTACACGAATTGGAAAAGGCGCTTGTGGTAATCGTTCGTACAATGCAGCAATCGGACTTTGAGGAAGAGCTTCAGCACCTTAAAAAATACAACGGAGTTCGCAAAAACAGTTCTTTCCGCAGCCTGTCACCGTTTCTGGACAATAATGGTATCATCCGAGTTGGAGGGCGTCTACAAGCATCAGAACTTGCATACGATGCCAAACACCCTATGCTAATTCCACATAACAATTCACTCGCCAAATTATTAGTACAAATGATCCATAAAGAAAACCGTCATTGTGGACCTCAAGCGCTCTTAGCTTACACAAGGCAAAGATTTTGGCCTATAAAGGGAAAATTGCTGACACGATCAATTGTGCTCAACTGCGTAAGATGCACCAAGGCTAAGCCAAAACTAATGAGTCAAATTATGGGGAACTTGCCTTCAACAAGAGTAACTCCAGCAAGACCATTCATCAACTCAGGCGTGGACTTCTGCGGGCCATTTTGGGTTCACTTCAAGTTAAGGGGAAAGAAACCACAGAAGGCCTATGTAGCGGTATTTTGCTGTTTTGCCACAAAGGCAGTGCATTTGGAATTAGTCAGCGACTTAACGACGGATGCGTTTATTGGTGCCTTAAAACGATTTATAAGCCGAAGAGTACATTGTCAAAATTTATATTGTGACAACGCAACCAATTTTGTAGGCGCGAAAAACCAGCTTTCTGAACTTACTGAGTTTGTTTATGGAAATTCATCACGAGTAAAGCATTGCAGCGGAAAGGGAATAACATTTAATTTTATACCTCCTAGGACTCCACATTTTGGCGGTTTATGGGAAGCAGCGGTAAAATCAGCTAAGCATCTACTAATAAGAAGCACCTCGACA